GACATTAATCTGGGTTATACATGCAGTACCAACCAACGGTCGATTTTAGACAGTTTGCAAATATCATCCGGGGCGAGCGTTATATCGGCCTTTGTATGACATGCAACTGGCCCCAGATCTATATAAGTGGGGTGACAAGATGTTTTTTACAGACTTTTATTTAGTCTTAAGAGTTTGGAGTCGTGAATAATATAGCGTATACGTATAACATACAGTCAGGTGACACATTTTAAGAAAAAAAGAATACAATGGAGAAACACTAATCCAGTGTGTCTATGAATCATGATAGCTTGATCTTACTGACCCTTCTTCATAATGAGATTTATTTTGATGTACCAATATACAAAATACGTGCAGCGTATAAGATATTGGATGGCAATACTTCTCATCAATACTCAACACTAATTGAAATTGATTGAAAGATTTTGTTAAAATAATTTCACTCTTGCCAGTCTTGGATAACCTGAGTTACAAATTACAAAAGAGGAACAAATCAAAAACAGATCATATGCAATAGACGCCCACTTGCCTAAATGATTCGAAAGAGAATGTGGACATTTTTTTCTCACTAAGACAAAGTCTTGCACGCAACTAACAAAGAGTGGAAAATGGCTTTAATAACAGGATACCATACTCAAAACGCAAATGGAGAATCTAACACAAAAAAGCCTGGTTCAAAACAGTTTGTATCTAGCAGTATATATTACCATATGCCAACCGAAAAGTGCCAACCGAACAGGGCCGTATATAGTACTATATACATATATATCGAATAGGTATAGTACAACATTTGCATGGGCATCTCGCACGATAGAACTAAGTATCTCGCACGATAGAAATCATAGAACTAAGAGTCTTACTAAGTAAGAGTCTAAGTATCTCGCACGATAGAACAGTTTTTGTAGATGAAAATTTGAAGCTGAGGCAGTTCTAAAATTCAATATAATCGTCCGCTCGAAATTTCAATCAACAAAAACCCTTCAACAGTACAACAATAGATGTTTCAGTACTTTGTTTTATTGTGGCTTGCGGCCTTCGGGGTCTTTTTCTTACTGGTCAGTGTCTTTTTTCGCAGAATTTTGATATTTTTTATATATTGTGAAATAGGTGACAGTATTATGACTATATTTGTATCGAGATCTCAAATATCTAAAAATACGTTAGTCCTTCGACATAGTCAATATGATCCATATCATTCTACCACCACTAAATCTAATCCTAGAAGTCTTGAAGACGATAATGCAGGTAAAGCGACCGATATGACTATGACACTCAAGTTGACTACACTGAGTTGATCAATGATCAAATATGCACCAGATTATGCTAACCACCAAAACCAAATCTTGTTTCTATAGACTGTATAGACTATAGTATACCTATAATATGAATTTGGCAGTGTTGACAGAACTTTGAAATATTGTTAATAACCTGTTATAATAACCTAACTCAAAATGCGTGAATGATTACTCACCTAGACCATCATCTAAGACTGAGACTTTGACTCCTTTGCCTGTATAGCCAAGTTCCCATACCGCCCAAATATTTAGATCATAACCTTTAAGACCACTATTATGCTGGCCAGTATTTCGAATATACCATTCATACTCTATTTGGGGATCATTGAAAGTCAAGGAACGCTTGACTCGCTGTAAAATTGACTGTCTTTCAAACCATTTTACATGAGGATGATCAGAAAGTTGACGATGAATTCGTTTAACATGGCGACGGCTTGTACGTTTCTCAAGATGCGATGAGGGACCTGCGTAAACGAATTCGTAAAATCCTCTCTCATTGATCGGACCTTTGTTTCTAAATCCATTTACTCTGGCTACTCGGTCAGGGTCAGCGCCTTCAGCAAGTTCTACAGCCCAAATATCAGAATATTCATTGCCTTCTTCATCAGTGTATAGTCCGCTCTTGAATTCAACGTCGTCGTTTACTGTGTATTCCGCTTGGTGTGTATATACTGCCACCAGGAAGAATAGTTTGAACAGTAATACTTTACAAAACATTATAGAATATAAGTGAAAGTTTAATGTTGCTAGCCTTTCCTATCAAGAAAAGCTAGCGAGAGTTCCAATGTAAATAGATTTTCTGTTTCCTTCAGCTGTTGTATTTTGTTTCAACTCGTTGATTTGCATTGAGACACTGCATATATAATTAGTTTTGTTGTGTGGGAAGTTAGCCGCACACGAAAGATCAATAATTATGTAAATTTTGGACTCGATACACCTACGTACTATTTGGTCGTTATTTTGACACCGGCTTGAAATTTAATCCTTGTCGACTTTTTACCTATTATTAACTATTGATTTCAAATGAATTTCCAAAAGTACCAATGAAACAATATAGAACTGATTATGTGTATGGGCAGGGGGGAAAATTTTGTACTGAATATTGTGTACACAATATGGGAAAAAATTTGCAATTCAAAGTGCCTCTCAATAAAGCGACGTCTCGACATATGATTTGCTGCTCGCTATATCAGTAGAATCAATTCACAGGCAGACACAGCTGTATCATACATTTCCTTCCTCATGACGTCATTTGTAGGTGTAAACTGTTTGAATATCAAAGATTGTAGGCGGACAAAGTCTTAAAATAAAATATCGAGCTATTTCTTGTCTTGCCCAATCTACTTTAGTGTAATTAACATTTTTTAAATAAACTGTATTTCTTATAGGTACAGCTGTTCGGCTGTTAAAATATCACAATAAGTTAGAGTACTGGCTTTAAATTTCTGTTAATTATCGTAATTCAATCTTGATCTATATATCACCATGACAATATTTAAAGTCATGTTTAAATTCAACTGATGTTTTATTGAGAATTTAGGAAGATATATGAATTAATGTATAAATAATTTGAGATTTTGCAGAATACAGCATCATTTTTCCGAGTTGATTGGCGAATATGTTTGTATATAGTTCGAATTCAATGTTTTATTGAGAATTTTATAGGAAGATATATATGAATCAATGACTAAATAATTTTGTGTTTTTAATTTAAATCAAGGATCACACAAAAGGTTTTTGATAATATTTTTATTTTAGCTACGTTTTTACTATCCGAAACGTAGCTAAAATAAAAATATTATCAAAAACCTCTTATGTGATCCTTGATTTAAATTAAAAACACAAAATTATTTAACCTGTGCTTGAACAGAGGTGAAAGTTTCCGAAAAGCAATGTATAAGTAATTTGAGATTTTGCAGAAATACAGCATCAGTTTTCCGAGTTGATTGGCGAATATGTTTGTATATAGTTTCAAATAAACTATAGATTGCCTTTGACCGGAATCGAACTTTTTACTCTCTCGATTTCCATACGTTCCTCCCGATTTGATGATACACGGTTAGTTATTCTTCTCATATATTTGTTCTAATTTTCGCTGCCTTGCCAGATCATGTACCTGAATTTACTATTTTATTGCCCATATTTCTGGAATGTTCACGGAATAGAGGGAGGGTAGCTTCCCATAAAAATTTCTTAACGTATCTGTGAAAAATTGAAAATGTTCCTCAAATCTTCGTCGGGATCCATAATTACAAACTTCCCAATTTCCGATACCGGCAAAATGTGCAGTTCTAAATCCATTTATGCAGTTTTAAAAACACAATATTTAATTTTTAATCTGGTACTCCTAAATCAGCTTACACTATACTTGGAGATACTTATATATATATATATATATATATATGTATATATGAATATTTTTCTGTGCTGGTGTTGTGTACTCAGGTGAATAATATGTTTGCGATGTTACTCTGAGTGCATATCCACACCGCTGCCTCGTCCCCAGGCGCTAATTAAAAAATTTGCGAATTACTATATGAAAGGTTTACATGAAGTAGTGCGTCACATTATAGGCGCGCGCAAAGGACAGTGGGATAAGCCCATAACTCCCTGCGCTTGTTCGTCATGATGCACTACTTCATGTAAACCTTTCATATAGTGACTCGCATGAAATTTTTTATTAGCGCCTGGGGAAGGCAGTCCACACCGGGCGAGCTTGAAAAATATGCCCGGCCACGGTGGGATTCGAACCTACGACCTTTGGAATACTAGCCCAATACTAGCAGTAACATCACAAACATATTATTCACCTGAGTACACAACACCAGCACAGAAAAATATTCATATTACTAGAACACATTGGTATTGAAGGAACTAGATACTGTTCCGAAATATCACTTACTCGAACCGTCCTGACCGCGTAGCTCAGTTGGAAGAGCATTGGGCTAGTATTCCAAAGATCGTAGGTTCGAATCCCACCGTGGCCGGGCATATTTTTCAAGCTCGCCCGGTGTGGATATGCACTCAGAGTAACATCGCAAACATATATGTATATATATTAATAAAATAACTATGAACTATATATATGAAAAACGTTAAAAGGTCCTGCCAAAATTATACTGATGCTCTTAATGCAGCACCTTTAAAAGCGTTGATATTCGTAGGCAGTTCGTTAAAAGGGAGATCGTTCCAGGTTACAATAGTTCTTGGGAAAAATGAAAATACCATTGTTACAAGAAACTTGCTGAACTGAGGGATGATGATTTGGAAGTCGGAATTTTCTTCCCAAATGTGCAGTTACCTAGCTAACGCCTAGCGAAAATATAACCTTTACTATGTTTGTGGGTTTCCTTGTGGATGCTCCAGAAAATATAAAACTTTTCTGGGGTAGGACCACCAACCCCCGTCTTCTTTACCAGCAAAACAATTACGCGCTGAGGCGGCGGAACAGGGCAAAAAATAGGGCGAGCATGAAATCCCCGAATGGCCCGAAATGGATTAGACTCATGGGAGAACTTAATATTCTTCGCTGTTCTGATTGCAATTAGTAGTTAGGTTTTTAACCGATGAGGATTTTGCAAATCTCCCCCCCCCCCCCCCCC